TCTGGGACAGTTGCTGAGGTGAATGCACTGGGCTTTTTATTAAGGCAAACATTTGAATGTGTGGCATAAAACAGGGACTGACCCAAGTTACACATCTCTTTTATTGTAGGATTTTTCACAACCTGTCCCAGAAACTGAAGCCTCTACCTCAACAGGCTTCAAAAGAAATGTGAACAAGGTAAGGATTTAAAACCCTTGACATATATAACAGGTGTTTGTCAAGGAACTTTTTGTGAGTTGAATAGCCTCCCAAAAACTTGTAATGATCATGTTTGTGGTGGAATTATGTTTCAGGTGGAAACAGACTCAGTCAGGGCCCTTTAAAAAAGGAGCCTATAGAGCTAGACTGCACACTAAAGGAGCCTATAGAGCTAGACTGCACACTAAAGGAGCCGATCGAGCTAGACTGCACACTAAAGGAGCCTATAGAGCCAGACTGCACACTAAAGGAGCCTATAGAGCTAGACTGCACACTAAAGGAGCCTATAGAGCTAGACTGCACACTAAAGGAGCCTATAGAGCTAGACTGCACACTAAAGGAGCCTATAGAGCTAGACTGCACACTAAAGGAGCCTATAGAGCTAGACTGCACACTAAAGGAGCCTATAGAGCTAGACTGCACACTAAAGGAGCCTATAGAGCTAGACTGCACACTAAAGGAGCCTATAGAGCTAGACTGCACACTAAAGGAGCCTATAGAGCTAGACTGCACACTAAAGGAGCCTATAGAGCTAGACTGCACACTAAAGGAGCCTATAGAGCTAGACTGCACACTAAAGGAGCCTATAGAGCTAGACTGCACACTAAAGGAGCCTACTGAGCTAGACTGCACACTAAAGGAGCCTATAGAGCTAGACTGCACACTAAAGGAGCCTATGGAGCTAGACTGCACACTAAAGGAGCCTATAGAGCTAGACTGCACACTAAAGGAGCCTATAGAGCTAGACTGCACACTAAAGGAGCCTATAGAGCTAGACTGCACACTAAAGGAGCCTATAGAGCTAGACTGCACACTAAAGGAGCCTATGGAGCTAGACTGCACACTAAAGGAGCCTATGGAGCTAGACTGCACACTAAAGGAGCCTATAGAGCTAGACTGCACACTAAAGGAGCCTATAGAGCTAGACTGCACACTAAAGGAGCCTATAGAGCTAGACTGCACACTAAAGGAGCCTATAGAGCTAGACTGCACACTAAAGGAGCCTATAGAGCTAGACTGCACACTAAAGGAGCCTATAGAGCTAGACTGCACACTAAAGGAGCCTATAGAGCTAGACTGCACACTAAAGGAGCCTATAGAGCTAGACTGCACACTAAAGGAGCCTATAGAGCTAGACTGCACACTAAAGGAGCCTATGGAGCTAGACTGCACACTAAAGGAGCCTATAGAGCTAGACTGCACACTAAAGGAGCCTATAGAGCTAGACTGCACACTAAAGGAGCATGGAGCTAGACTGCACACTAAAGGAGCCTATGGAGCTAGACTGCACACTAAAGGAGCCTATGGAGCTAGACTGCACACTAAAGGAGCCTATGGAGCTAGACTGCACACTAAAGGAGCCTATGGAGCTAGACTGCACACTAAAGGAGCCTATGGAGCTAGACTGCACACTAAAGGAGCCTATGGAGCTAGACTGCACACTAAAGGAGCCTATAGAGCTAGACTGCACACTAAAGGAGCCTATAGAGCTAGACTGCACACTAAAGGAGCCTATAGAGCTAGACTGCACACTAAAGGAGCCTATAGAGCTAGACTGCACACTAAAGGAGCCTATATAGCAAGACTGCACACTAAAGGAGCCTATAGAGCTAGACTGCACACTAAAGGAGCCTATAGAGCTAGACTGCACACTAAAGGAGCCTATAGAGCTAGACTGCACACTAAAGGAGCCTATAGAGCTAGACTGCACACTAAAGGAGCCTATGGAGCTAGACTGCACACTAAAGGAGCCTATGGAGCTAGACTGCACACTAAAGGAGCCTATAGAGCTAGACTGCACACTAAAGGAGCCTATAGAGCTAGACTGCACACTAAAGGAGCCTATAGAGCTAGACTGCACACTAAAGGAGCCTATGGAGCTAGACTGCACACTAAAGGAGCCTATGGAGCTAGACTGCACACTAAAGGAGCTTGACTGTGAGCTGAGGAGGCTCCACATTTAAGAAATATATGTAACATCTAGATTAAACTGATCTCAGTATGTGAACTTATTTAACCAAGAACACTTTAACATGAATATTTATTAATGCAACTTTCTATTGCTCTCTTTCTCCCCCCCCCCCCCCCCCATCCCACAAAACCAATAAAACAGTTTGAGACCTATCTGCAGTTTCAATGTGCTTTTATTAAGTGTAATATTGTATGGTGATTGCAACTACATTTGCACCAGCTGGGTGGTCAAGTGTGTTCGGGTCAGTTTCATCGGGGAGAAGCTTTCTGTGGTGTTCTGGCTCCTTTCTATGGTGGCTATATTGTGCAGAATGGCACAAGACACTATCTGTGATGCCCACTCTGGTGACTCTTAAGCGCCGAAGACAGTTGAAACGTGCCTTTAGGATGCCAAAGATCATCTCTAACTTTTACTATGGTTTTACTGACACATGAGGGTCATGATAGGGGGTTATTGTGTAGGTTTTGCTGTCCCAATTCAAATTAACAGTGTTTTGTACTGTACCAAATTTAACTAGCTTTCCTCAAAAGCGCTGACACAACATACTCACAGAAAGTAGATGGTTATCTATTAATTTTACTATTAATTTAAAGATTCATCTCACAGAAAATAATAATTTCACATGTTCACATAATCTCTACCTGAACATTAAGGCTGTGAAATGACTTTCTATTAACATAATCTGCCTCATGTTCTCCTAGAGAAGTGGAGATTGCAACATGTGTGCAGGCTATTGCTCCAATGACTCTATAGGGAATGCTATCATAGGATTAACAGAATAAAATAAAAAAAGATTTAAAATAATTCTTAACATGTACTGTATTGTATAGTACATTTCTGAAATTTGCTTTTTGAAAGAAAAAAAAAACGTGATGTCACCCTATCAATATATTATACCGGCAATTTTATAAAAACCCTCTCTTATGGACATGGTCAATAAATGTCTGGAGAACACTATTAAACTATTAATGTACTCCTGCAGAGCGAGGACCACCTTGCGAAAATGCGAATGGTTCTACAAACCGTGTTTTCCCCTAGATTCTGTGCATCACCGATCGTGCAAGTATGTAGGCTACCAGTTGCAAAAAAAACGCAACGCAATACCATTTGTGGTACAGTAAATGCATGAATTCGACGTGTTAAATTATTTATGTGCGGCTCAGGAAGTTCGCAAAGATAAGAAATTCCTTCCGCAGAAAATCTGTATCTTTCATACAAGTAACTATCAGGAAAGGCAAGGGGATTTTGTCCGGCTAAAAACTCATTCTCTACGATGTGCTTGTCTTACAAATTTGCGCTGAGATGTCCACAGGATTTGAAAGAAAATGTAAAGCCATTGCAACAAACACTGGGAATTAGTTACGTCACCTATATGTTTCTTTGCTCACAGCTGATTGGTCAAACTTCAGTCTGAGATCTCGAATCCAGAACTTAACCTGCCCCGGAGCAGGTTAGCCGTGCAGCGTAAGGTACCATGGCAACAAACACCGATTAAAGCCGAGCTACTTTCATAGTACCTAAAACCCAGGGTTGGCGGAAACTAAGCTGAAACATAGCTGGCTAGCCACCTAAACCGGCTTCATGGTACAGGCCCCTGCTGTTCCATAGTGTTTACACAATCGATTGACAACGACGTAAAAAGTATTAAATTAACAATGGTGCGAACTTGTAAATTCCCAGGCTGTGACCACAAGGATGTGCCGGGATCAAAGTTCAGATTCCATCGTTTTCCTGTTTCGAATATAACTATGAGACAGTTTACCGAGCATAATCTCCATCTGCTGTTAGTCGACCTCACCAGCAGGGGGTGCAAGCGCGTGTTGTTGATTTGGCTGGTTGCCATCGGCTATTCTGCGGGAGCTAAAATATCCAAAATAAAGGATTTTCGTGTGTGTAGTGCTCACTTCAGCGAAGACGATTACATCCCCATTTAAGGAGGAAAAGGAAAATTAAAGAGTTTTGCTGTACCAGTACCACGGGTAAGCTCTATTTACTAACTTTATGATCCCATGTCTAAACTGGACGGTAAACAAGCTGATGTTTAGACTCCATTATAAAACACGTGAAACACGTTGACGTTGACAGCAGCGCGGATTGATAGAAATGGATAGAAAATAGTGCCGATTAAAACTGAGGTATGAATTTTGACCGGCGTGTTTTTTGTGTGGTAAATTAATCAAGCTTTGAAACGCAAATCATTTTTTCACGTAAAAACGCACAGTTTTGTGGCACCGGAAAATAACCGGGAGTACTTTATTGAAAAACTTCCAGCGGCCAGAACTCTGACCAGGGAGGGGACAACAGAGTGGGTCAGTGTGTGTGCACTATAGTGCTGGTAAGGATTGCATACAACTTCATGTCTTAAATGGGCGAACTAACCCTTTAACAGCACAAATGTGTGTGTGTCATTCAGGATGTTATTAATTTGGGTAACATCAAAAATGTTTCTGCCAAAAACTTATTTAGCCTTAATTTAGTCTAAAAATACAAATGTTGAATTTTCAGCATCATTACTCCAGTCTTCAGTGTCACATGATCTTTCAGAAATCACTCTAATATAATGATTTGATCGATGCTCAAGAAACATTTATGATTATTATCAATATTGAAAACAGTTTATTTTTTTGGAAACCATGAAACAATTTTATTTTTCAGAAATCTTTGATGAATAGAAAGTTTAAAAGAACAGCATTTATTTGAAATAGAATTTTTCGTCTCTACTGTCACTTTTGATCAATTGACTGCGTCCTTGATGAATAAAAATGTACTGACTGATTGGTAGTGTAAAAATATAAATAGTGAATAGTAAAAACTAGAGAATGTGCTCACCGTCGTGGAAAGGTTCCCACTGGTACAGTCTCCCCATGAAGAGCTGCGTGTTGAAGGAGGAGCACTGCACGTCTCTGATTGGTCTGCTGGATGACGGACAGGCCTGAGAATTCATAAACACACCCACACATACTTTTTTTTACAGCCGTATTAAGCATTCACACACCCCCTCAAGAGTTAAACGTGGCCTATTCCTGGGGTAAGTGATGATGTTAGCCAGGGTTAAATGCTGGGGTTAGTGATGATGTTAGCCAGGGTTAAATGCTGGGGTTAGTGATGATGTTAGCCAGGGTTAAATGCTGGGGTTAGTGATGACGTTAGCCAGGGTTAAATGCTGGTGTTAGTGATGATGTTAGCCAGGGTTAAATGCTGGGGTTAGTGATGACGTTAGCCAGGGTTAAATGCTGGGGTTAGTGATGACGTTAGCCAGGGTTAAATGCTGGGGTTAGTGATGATGTTAGCCAGGGTTAAATGCTGGGGTTAGTGATGACGTTAGCCAGGGTTAAATGCTGGGGTTAGTGATGACGTTAGCCAGGGTTAGATGCTGGGGTTAGTGAAGATGTTAGCCAGGGTTAAATGTTGGGGTTAGTGATGACGTTAGCCAGGGTTAAATGCTGGGGTTAGTGATGACGTTAGCCAGGGTTAAATGCTGGGGTTAGTGATGACGTTAGCCAGGGTTAAATGCTGGGGTTAGTGATGACGCTAGCCAGGGTTAAATGCTGGGGTTAGTGATGATGTTTGCCAGGGTTAAATGCTGGGGTTAGTGATGATGTTAGCCAGGGTTAAATGCTGGGGTTAGTGATGATGTTAGCCAGGGTTAAATGCTGGGGTTAGTGATGACGTTAGCCAGGGTTAAATGCTGGGGTTAGTGATGACGCTAGCCAGGGTTAAATGCTGGGGTTAGTGATGATGTTAGCCAGGGTTAAATGCTGGGGTTAGTGATGATGTTAGCCAGGGTTAAATGCTGGGGTTAGTGATGATGTTAGCCAGGGTTAAATGCTGGGGTTAGTGATGATGTTAGCCAGGGTTAAATGCTGGGGTTAGTCATGACGTTAGCCAGGGTTAAATGCTGGGGTTAGTCATGACGTTAGCCAGGGTTAAATGCTGGGGTTAGTCATGACGTTAGCCAGGGTTAAATGCTGTGTTTCTGTGCAGATGTTACCGTGGCATTGCAGATCTTGTGCTGGTTCTGGGCTCCGGGGCAGGAGGCGTTCGGGACCGCGTCGTACGGCCGGTTCTGCGCTGCCGGTGTGTGAGCGCGCCGGTTCAGATGGACGGTTCTACCCTGAGTCCTGTAACTCTGGAGAGGGACGTCTAATGCCGATCGTCTCCGTGTGTTTTGGGCTGTTCGGCCAGAATCCTTCAGTAGAGGCGTTACGTATGAAGTCCTGCCGTATCCGTACGTCCCTGCACTGATGCCACGGTTCGCTTGTCTTCAACAGAGAGAAAATATAGAGAAAGAAAAGTAAATTTACTCATTTAGCAGATGCTCGTATCCCAAGCCATTCATCTGAAGTAATAATTCATCAAATTAATTAAATCAAATGTACAATTAAAATAAAGATTTTTCACAGTAAATCAAAATAGCGATCTATCTTATTAATAGCGAATATCAAATCAGTAGATTTACATGAGCGCAGCTTCGGTTCACAGGGAATTATTCTTCTCACAAACGTTAAAGTTTAACGTGCATTTGGGAGGTTCACTTTATTTACACTCACATTCACAGAATTCCCAACATTTATCCGACAGACGTTTACAGCATTTCACTAATAATCTGCCAAAATAACAACTTTGAGAGTATTTGACATTTGACAAGTGAAGATTTCAAGACATCAAAATTTGTATTGTAACTTGTGGTTTTCGTTGGTTCTTGTAAAGATTGAACTCATGTGTGAACAACTTTTTTTTTAAAGTATCTATTTTCATTAGCAGTCGAATCTTTGTTCATCGTGTCTGAATGAATTATGATATAAAATGAAATGTCATATTGCATTTCAAACTGCAATCACACAACACACGGCTGGTAGGAACTACACGAGCTTCTTCACGGGTTAGTGACATCACAAACCCTCAAATTTACATAAACCCCGCCTCCGGGAACACGATTTATAGATTATCATGACAGAATATGCTAATCAATGACTAGAAGAGAGTTAACTCCACATCAGAAACATAAACTCATCAACTAAGCATCAGAAATGTCCTGTTGCTCTACATGACTGACTCCGGTTTGAACATAAAAGGCTAAAAGTTTTTGAAACACACACACACACAAGCTCTTGAAGCTCCGCCCCCCTGTGCTGGGAGCAGCAGCTCATTTGCATTTAAAGGGACACACACACAAACGGCGTGTTTTTGCTCACCCTCAAAAAGTGATGATTTTAACATGCTATATAAAATATCTGTGGGGTATTTTGAGCTGAAGCTTCACACACACACTCTGGGGACATCAGAGACTTATTTTACATCTTGTTTAAATCTCAGGTGGGCTATTAAATATCTACACCTAAAGTGGTTCAGCTGATGAAAAAGCGTAAGTATTAGTTTTGAACTGATGAGGATGATGTCAAACCTCCATCCATGCCTGAGGCTCTGCGGTCTCTGCTGGCCCGGCGCTGATCCGCTGGGAGCGACCCGACAGATCCTGATCCGTTCCTGAACTCCTCCACCGCAGGAGAGCGAACACGAACCCCACGAACCCCAGGAGCTCCACGACCTCGACCTCGACCCGTCAGAACCAGTCAGCGGATCCGACCGGATCTGAGCACGTCAAGAGGAAATAAACAAGAACAAAAATGAGATGTAGTTCGTCCCTCATGCCACGATTCTATACGATATTATTGTGATACTCCAAGACTTATGGTAAAAGGTTAACAAAAATGAACTGTTGATTAAAATGCTAAATTTGATATTACATTGTGTGTGTAAATGAATATTCTTGGACTCAGTGCTGAAACCCAAAGCACAGACAATAGAGACGCCAGAATAACAATATTCATGATTCTGAAGCTGGAAATACTGAGTTATTGTAGATGAATATGTTTGATCTCTGTCACTGACTAGATATATTTATAATAATGTCGGCCACTTTTCACTGGTATCATCACACATCTGGCATTATCAGGAGCCACAGATATTCCCCCACTGCAGTGTTATACATTATATTCAACTTTATATATAGTAGTTTAATGTAGTACTGACACTAAAACTCTGAAAACATGAATTTTTTTCTCACACAGTAATTTTTTTTTGGGGTGAACTAGGCTATACACAAAACATATAGTTGCATTATTGTATTGCGATATATTATGCCATGGAATTCTTCCACATGCCCACCTGCGTCAAGAGCCTGGTAGCTCAGTACTATAGCAACTTGCAGATGTGTTTTTCCCTCCAGGACTTCACCACCGGATGGCAGCGGCTCGAAGTAGGAATTGCGATGGGGTGTACTATTTCTCCAATACTGTTTGTAGCAGCCTTTGAGATAATCCTCATGTACAATGAGGCAAATGGTTGGGGGGATCAAACTGCCAACTGGCAAGAGGCTTCCCCCACTGAGGAGTTACATGGATGATGTCACCAGCCTCCTTCAGACAGCAGCATGCACATCAAGACTGCTGAAGAGGATGGACGAATTGATGTCATGGGCAAGAATGAAGATCAAGCCCTCCAAGTCTCGGAGCTTGTCCCTCAGGAGAGGAGTCAGAAATGACAATACCATCTTCGTCATTGGAGGGGAAAAAATCCCACTTCTATCAGAGCAACCGATCAAAAGCCTGGGGAGGCAGTACACTGCAGACCTATCTGACAAACAGATGGGGAAAACCGTCATGAAGCAGCTCTCCGCCGGACTGGCAAGGATCGACCAAAGCCAACTCCCTGGGAAGTTTAAGGTCTGGTGCTACCAGTTTACACTCTACAGGAGGGTGATGTGGCCCCTGAAAATGAGTGAGATTCCCTCATCAACTGTAAGTAAGATGGATGGAAAAGCCAACTCATTCATCCGAAAGTGGTTGGGGTTGCCACGGTGCCTATCTGAAACCGGTCTATTTGGAAAAAACATGCTGCAGCTGCCACTGCAGTCCATACAGTTGGGCTACATGCAAGAAAAGACCAGGTTGGTTCTCGAGCTGAGGGAGTCCACAGACGAGTCAGTAAAGAACGCAAATGCCAAGGTTCCTACTGGCCGCAAGTGGAATGCCCAAACCGAGGTCGATCAAGCTGTCGGTCGGCTACAACACCGGGAGATCATGGGCAGAGTTCAGGTAGGAAGAGCAGGTCTAGGATGGGGAGAGACGCCACGCTTTTGGTCCAAGGCCAATCGCAAGCAAAGGAAGGAGATGGTGGTAGCAGAGGTGACGAGGATGGAGGAAGATCGCTACAAAATCAAGGCCGTGGCGCAGGGTCGACAAGGAAGCTGGACAACCTGGGAGGGAATCATGAACCGGAACATCAGTTGGTCAGACGTGTGGAAGATCCCACAGGCAAGACTTAGTTTCCTTATTCGTTCAACCTACGACACGCTTCCCTGCCCTCGGAACCTCCACCAGTGGTTTGGAAATGAAGAATCCTGCGTACTCTGCAATGCTCCCAACGCAAGTCTCCAGCACATCTTGGCAGGCTGTAAGATCGCTCTCTCACAGGGACGCTACAGATGGCGCCACGATCAGGTCCTGAGAAAGCTAGCCGAAGTACTTGAGGAGTGTCGACAGGGTGGCAACCAACCACCATCAGCAGAGGACCCCACCATCTTTGTGTCGGAAGGAGGGGTAAGGAGAAGCACCAGATCAAGAGAAACAGCAAGGCTCTTCTCCCCCAACCAGGAGTGGGACATGAGGGTTGACCTAGATAAGCAGCTCCGGTTCCCCACGGAGATAACCACCACATCTCTCCGGCCAGACATAGTGGTGTGGTCAACCAAGGCGAGATCGACGCACCTCATTGAGCTCACTGTACCACTGGAGGAGGGGATCGAGGCCGCCTTCGAACGGAAGAAGGCCAAGTACTCGGAGCTTGCTGCCGAGTGCCGGGAGGCTGGCTGGAAGACGACCATCCACCCAGTGGAGGTCGGATGCCGAGGTTTCCTTGGGGTGTCAACCATACGCCTCTTGAGGGAAGCAGGAGTGGCCGGAGGGAGGCTAAGGAGGGCAACAAAGGATCTGGCAGAGGAGGCAGAGAAAGGTAGCTTTTGGCTCTGGCTGAGGAGGAAAGATAGGTGTTGGGGGAAGAACATCTAACCCCAGATAACAGCAGCAGGGAGAACAGCTATCAGCTGCAGGGGGTGACAGGGAGACGTCCCTGTCACTGCTCCGCCACCTGGAGACGTTCCAGAATTAAAGGAGCGAAACGTCGGTGAACGGTGGTTTCTGGCTGATGACCCTGCAGCTGACCCATGGGCACTGGAGGAGGTGCGACAGGCAGCAATGCCCAGCAGGTGGTAACATCTTCCTGTGCAATTACTGAAGTTCTGGCGAACCCAGTGACTACTGTGAATAGGGCAGTTGGAGTCCAGGGAAGACTGGAGGACAGCCAGGAAAGACTGGATGGCAGCAGGGAAAGACCGCACCGGGAGTGGGTGGCTAGTTACCTAACCCACTAGTCTTTTGCGAGAGAGACACCCAAACCTAACTACAAAGAAACGTAACGAGAAACAACCCGCGGGCCCTCCGAGAGGTGGGATGAAAGATGGGCCCAACAGGACAGACCACACGGTGACGACGGCAACGAACATGGACAACGAGAACACCAGAACTCCAGTAAACGAGGAGAAGATCCTCAGAAAGTGTGCATGTGGATGGGAGAAAGTGACCACGTTTAGGGGCTTACGGATTCATCAGGGGAAAGCGAAGTGTGGACAGAAAGGCCAACAGCAACCTTGCACTGCGTTAGCAGGTGAGACAAGAAGGACCAAAAGCCAGGGAAAAAACCACAGAGCCGAAGGACCTAACGTTGCTGAAGGCATGAGAGTCACAGAGGAAGGTCCCCTGGTGGAGGCTGAGCCTCCACGTGTGCATGAAGACCCAGTCCCCAACACGTTAGACAGAACAGAGCCAAATGAAGAGACCAAAGAACCAGCCAGAAGGAGTAAGCTGAAGTGGCCGAAGTCAAATGAAGCAGAGGCATGGCGCAATTTGGACTTGGACCTGATCAAGACCCTAGAGGGATCACTGCGAGGAGGGGGCGAGACTAAGCTTAACCTGATTGGAGACATAATATACCAGACCTGCAAAGACAAGTTTGGCGAAATTGTCCCCAAACAGAGGACCGCCAGGAGAGAGAAGGGAAGGAGGGAAAGGGAAATCCTCCAACTTGTGCAAAGGCGTCGGCAACTCCGCAAGAACTGGAGGAAGGCAACCCACGCAGAGAGAGAGGGTCTGAAAGTCCTGTGGGAGGAGGTCCGGAAAAGGCTAGCCGGGCTTCGCAGAGCTGAACGCATCCGCAAGCGCAACCAGCGGAAGCAGAGAGAGCGAGCCAACTTCTTCAAGGATCCCTTCAAGCATGCCAGACAACTATTGGAGGAAAAGAAGAGTGGCAGGCTCGAAACCACCAAGGAGAAACTGGAGCAGTATGTCAAAGAGCAGTACAGTGATCCACAAAGGAGCGTCCCTTTAGGAACTCCAGGATACGTGCCCCAGCCGGCAAAGCCAACAGTTGAGTTCAACATCATGCCCCTCAAGCTCAGCGAAGTCAGGCAAGTCGTGGAGAAGGCAAGGTCCTCTTCCGCACCTGGTCCCAATGGGGTCCCCTACAAGCTTTATAAGAACTGCCCCAAGGTACTAGAGCTACTATGGTATCTGATGAGAACTGCCTGGAAAAAGCAAATAATTCCATTTGAGTGGCAAAGAGCGGTAGCAGTCTTCATACCTAAGGAAACGAACTCCAAAGACATCAGCCAATTCCGGAACATTGCACTACTGAATGTAGAAGGAAAGATCTTCTTCTCAGTGCTAGCCAGGAGGATGACTAACTATCTGCTCGAGAATGGCTATGTTGACACCAACTGCC